TACGAACTGAAAAGCTTTAATTTTTAGGAAATTTTCATCAAAAATCTTTATAACTCAAGAAGTATTCCTGTTAAGGCGTGACCTTTTTTGATAGTTTATTAATTTTTTGTCTTAAAAAACACAATGACAAGCAATTCCAAGGCATCTATTTTTCTCTCTCTCAACTACTGAAATCAACAGATCAACTACTGAAATTTTTCCAAATTCATCAAATCGCTATCACATTATGAATGCTTCCTGAAGTTGCCATTCAGCTCTGAAATACCGTCAGTTTTTCCCTCGTTGGAATTGATATAAAACTACTTTTCCTAAAACAATTAACGATGCCAACTTTCGAATATTTTTTTCATACTGGCGATATTAAAATTAAATCTTCTAACACGTTTCTTTTCGCTTTTTGTTGGATTTTATAAATTCTACAAGACTCCACTCCGTCAGTATTTCATAGAAATAGTATTATAGAAAGCTCTAAACACCAATAATTTTTTTATTGATATAGAAAATGAGCCGATCGGTATATGGTGGTCAGGGGGCTTGACCTCATGTCAGAAGATTTCCGCTTCGAGTTGGAAATAATTTCTCTCTCTCTCTCTGTTTATCTGCATTTTTATATAGTTGGGATGATGTTGATTCATCTATGGGTGCTCTCAAAAAATAAGCCAACAACATCACCCGTTAAGTACCACAATGGCATATAGTTGCTAAATATGGTGGGCATTAGAAATAAAATTTAAGAAAAATTGAAGTTGACTTAACTGAAAAAACATTAAAAGGGGAGACAGTTATTGACGGGAGGCATTAAATCTGAGTTCTACTGTATAAATATGCAAATGTTTACAAAACTCCTCTTATTTTAAATTTCTGATTTCCATTTTTATTCCACAACTACTTATTTGTTCAACTAACTACTAACTATTTATTACTAACTTACTATATATTTGTAATAGATATCAATCAATGTGAAATAACCGCAATTAAAAATAACATTTAAATTTATAAAAACTTTTTCAAATCTTACTAATAAAAGTATAAATTTGGTTATGATGATGTAGAAAGTAAGTAAACTTTTTTTTTCTTCTAACTACAAGACACGCATTAAAAATATACACAAAAATACATTATAAAAACTTGTTTCAATAGTTTTTCCACGTTGAGCACTAATTTTTTTGTTTCTCAAAATTGTTCAATCCACTATATAGTAAGCTAGATAATCTACCTAAAAATTAAAAGTGAGAGATTTCTGTAGCCGATATATATGTACGGGAAATTTTGCCTATTGCTTAAGAATAAATCAATTAAATCAACTTTCCAAAAGATTTATTTACCTTATCTCAAAACACATAAGCTTAATCTTACGAAACAAAAATTGACAAAAAGAAAAGAAAGTAAAAGAAATGAAAAAAAGGAAAGTAATATCTCATCTTTCGATTTTTATTTTTTTTATCTGCTGAGCAAACTCTTTTGAGCATCCCTCACCTTATGAGATTGTCAGGTGATGGAAACATATTATATTTGTTTGCTTTATTCTTTATAAAAAAAAACCGATTATCAACTCGCTGAGTAAATATTTGTTTTCATATGCTTGTGGATATGTATAATCTGGAAAAATAATATTTCATATTTCGAATGAAACTATTTATAAAAATATTGCAATAAAATATTCGAGACATCTATCTTGTAGATCAGTAATAAATAAAATGCTAACTACACTCTTAAAAATTTCTCAGAAAAAGTGGTTAAATAACAATTTATTTAATGGTTATTTTACCATATTCAATCAAAAAAATCAAATAATCATAAATAAATTAGTAATCAAACCGTTAAGTGTGAAAAAAAAACAATTAATTAACTGCTTTCACCTAATATGGTTTAGCAACCAGAATTTTATCGCACCAACTAGGACCACCTAATGAAGCCACTTAATTCTTTGCAACTGCGTACGTATCATAGCCGAGCTGGTTAATCTGTCAATCTTATAACCGGCAGGACTGGGGTTCGAATCCCAGTATTGACACCACAGTATTTCCTCCACTCCCTTCAACACACGAAGATTTTCCAGTGTCCAGCACTCTCCAATGCCCATTACCTAACGAGAAGCAGATTAGAAGATCTAGTTAAATTTTATTTTTTACGTTTTTGAAAAATGCTAGTTGTAAATGGTTAAAAAACCATAAAGGTCGAAAATTTTCTTTACCGTAAACTTTACGGTTAATCGGATAAACAGACAGCTTCCAGTTATTTTGCCATAGTTTCAGAATGAAAATTCCAACTGTGTATATGCTCAATTCAGGACAGAATTTCATAGAATATAACTCTAACGTTAGAAAGTTATGAAATATCTAATATAATAACAGATCTTTTTGATTTCAGACAAAGCGTCTTTAAACCCTGTGCTATTTATTCATATTTATTTAATTTTTATTTTTACTCGTTTATACTTAAGATCACTTAAGTTTACATAAGAAAAATTAAGTATGTTAATGACATTGTAGTCAAGTAAATTTGACGTAATTAAAAGTATGAATTAACCCCAATTGAAGTTCTCGGGATATAACACTTAACGTTAGAAAGTAATTCAATACATTAATTATAACTATGACGTCCTTCGTTTCTGAGCAAGCTTCGCTTAACCCTGTGCTATTTAATTGGATTGATTTAATTTCAGCTTCCACTCATTTAACATAAAAAAATAGAGTACGTGATTGATATTGCGTCCAAAAATTCGATATAACTAAAATTATAGAAAAAAGATTAACCCAAAACTTAGAATTTTATTTTTGAAAGCTGAAGGAAAAATTTAATGTAATCATTCAATTAAATTGTTTTTCATTATTACGTCATTGGATGTAGTAATTACCAAAGTTTTTCGCATTATTAATTGATAAATTATTTTTCAGTGGCCTAGACTGAAATTCCTTTTAAATATTTTTTTTAAGGCTATAAGCAGAATCATATCTTGTTGGCTGTCAATTTAGAAAATTTTTGAAGCGAAATTAATTCAAATTAGATAAATATTGTTTTGTGCAAATTTTATAATATGGTATAAAATTTAAAACTTTTTATACCACACATTATTTTAGCTTATAACAGCTATGAAACTTACAGCGAAAATTTAATAAGATTATGAAGATTTATCAGATAGGTATATTGGAAATATTTATGCAATTTTAAACAAAAATTATAATAAAATCGGAAAAAGCACAGCTATAATTGTTAGGACAAACAAAGATACATTACAACTCCTTTCTTATAAATTAAAGAATCTATTAAAAAAATAGTAATTTTTCTCGTGTTTAATATTTTAATATCCAAAAATTTTAATGATTAGTTATTTTAATATTTTTCTAACGTGATCATCTCTAGATTAAAACTACTCTTTCTAGCACGTGCAAGCTTTCCATGTTACGACAATCTTTCTAACAAACCCAATTAAATATTCTTTTATCTTCGTTAATTGTGAATTATCCGAATTAAATTCGTTATTTAGGGGGAAAAAAATAAAAGACTGAATTTTAAAAAATCTTGAGTGAGTTATTGATCTAGAGAGTTTTGTCATCCGTGCGCGTGCTCGTTCTACAAGGAAACTCCGGTGAGCAGAAGAAAAATGCCCGGTTTACCCGAAATCTTTCACGATTGCGCACAACGATTCGATTGAGATTGGATGTTCCTTCAAATTTCTTCCACGAGGAAAATCCCCCTCCACCACAGAATACTTTCCCCTCTCGAAGGCGCGAAACCAGTTGCATTTAGACGGATTGATGGAACATTCAGTCCTTTGGTTCACTTGTTCTTCATCGAACGAACCTGTTGCACACGAAGAGCGGTGGTTCTTGATGCAGACGATTCAGAAAAAGTTGAAACTTTAGAAGATTCGAAGGAACTTTTAGAAGGTTCGAAAAGTGTGATGTATTTGTTAATGTAAAGTTGCATAAAAAAGATGTTTTAAGCATTGGAAAATGGATTTTATCATACGAATGGATTATTTGAGTTTAAAATGAGTAAAAGAAAAGAACTCGATAGAAAAGTGGAGAACTCGTAATCTGATTGGTCAATTCAGGATAAATCTTATTTGTAAAATGAAAGAAAGTTTATGTGATTACGGAGAAATAATTTAAGAAAGAAAAAACATAATTTGCTATACATATTTATGATACTATAACTTTACGAAGATGTTTGGATATTTTCTTAAGTGTTATTTACGAAACCTTATTTTTTCTCTTTAATTCTAAATGCATTTATTGTTGCGATTCTACTTTTACATAAATGATTCCATGTCTGTCCAATCTTTGCTACTATTCCAAATTCAATAATGGATATTTTTTAGATGTGTCGTTAACTGTGAAACAAATTGATATTGCAAACATTGACATATTTACAAAAAATTGTATCTAATGTTTAAATCAACTCAGAAATATATTTATTGCTGTGAATTTTTTAAAATCAAAAACATTGTGATAAATTAAATGCCATATATACATATTTTAAGAAAAATTAGAACAAATATTAGAATTCAAAGTTGTGATAAAAAATTTTATTACATATTAGCGTTAAAAATTATTACGTATTAGCGTTAAAAATTATTAATACTTATAAACGTTAAAAATTTTTGGAATTCATAATTTTTATCTTGGATTACATGACAGCTTATTACCCGGAAATATTATGAAACATTTTTTAAACATATTTGTTGGATGAAAAAATACACATTACGTAAAGAAAATTGCAAGTTTAAGTTCAGTGAAAACACTTACATTGACAATTTTCCGTGTTTGATGTTTTACACTTGTTTGAACAATAATTAATATATCTTTCGCAAATATATCTGTATATATACAAGTTACAAATTACATTATTATAACATGTTATTTGTGGTGTTTCCCCTATAATATTTTCCAAAACGCTTTCTAAATTTATTGCGTATTATACTCAAACGTTAAAAGCTTCTTCTATGTTTAATTAAAAATATTCGTTTGTGAAAATTTTAAACTAGCTCTTTCAACATGTTACCTGTAAGGTCATATAGTATACGCAATAAACGCAAAAATAGAGAAGCTATAGCTTCCTTGCGAAAGAATCAAGCACGCCGTAAAGTTACTTCCGGTACCACAGCAACTCATACACCCGCAAGACGAACAGTAAGTGCCGGGTCAACATTACCTTCGGAAAATAAACCGCCACGTAGCCCCAGTGCAAAATCTGTATCGTCTGAGCCAGGGGCTACAACATCAAAAGATTTAAAATTTGAGACTCTCATAGAAGAGGAGCAAGAAGATAAAGAAGATGAGACTGAAGAGAAGAAAGAAGAAAAGAAAGAAGAAGATGGTGAAGAAGGAGATAAAGTTAAAGATAAAGAAGAGACAAGTGTAGAAAAAGCCCATGTTACATTTGACGAAACTAAAGATGCTGAAGTTGAAGAACCGAAGTAAGTTTTTTCTTCTTTAACTTAAAACTTTGAATTTTTTAAAATTGCTGCAAAATTTCATCATATATTCTTAAACATCTCAGATTTAAATAAATGTGATACTCATAAAAATTAATTTGAGATGGTGAAAAAATTAATTTTTTACATAAAACAACGGACTATTAAGAGCTGTCATATTAATGTAACACGAAAATTACAATTATATTTATCAAAAATTGCGATATGGCAGATTTTTAATTCCATAAAAGTTTATGGTGAAAAAGTAATTTTAATACCTGCTCTCAGAGTGGAACACGGAGAAAAAATTCTGGTAAAATTACTGCACTGTATGATAATGATTTTTCGGCTGTAAAAAAACATAATTCTGGTTGATAAAACAAAATATATAGTATTTAAGCCATTTATTTGGTGATAGTTCCGTTCAAATGATAACGGTTTACCACACTTTCGATATACTAAATTATAGATCTCTTACCATGCATTTCGCAAGAAATATAAAACTGAAAAGTAAATTTAACCGAATGAATTATTTCTATACCATTTTCTAAAGTATCACGGTAAAAATACCTAATCTTCCCACATTTGCAAAATTTTATCACATATTATAAAACCATTTTTATTTTTAATTTTATCCAAAGTCATTATCAAAGCGCTTCGGTAAAAATTAGCGAGATTTTGTTATTCTCATGATAAAAAATACGGTAAATGTTTCCTTATTCTGATAGTTTTGGCCATATTTTTTTTCTCATCATGGTGGAAAAAATGCGATTCACTTTCATTTGTAAAATGGAATCAGGTAAAAAAAAATTTAAATATATATTTGGTGAATTTTAGAATTTTCTTCGCAATTATCATTCCATAAACAAGCTCTAATATGTGTTCAAGTATTTATTAAAATTCTCATCGATAAAAAGATAAATTTTGAATAGATAATCACTTAAAATTTTACATGCAGTTATATCTGGGAAAACAAATGTTGCTTCTTATTTATTCTTTTATTGAAAGAATGTTTTTGCTCTGTATCATGTAAACAACTTAGACTTGTGACGAATTTCATAAAATAAGAATGGTCATATTGTCGCTAATTCATATAATTTACTTAAATATCCATAGCATAATGATAAGTTCATTCAGGGAAAGGATGTTTTCTCTTTGATTTAATCTTAATAGTTAACCCTTAAACCATACCTTCGAACCATTAAGATTGCAACAAAATACAATAATTTAATTTTAAAAATCAGAATGATTTCTTTTTCACATTGTTTTAGGTAACTTCACTTTTCCGTTCAAATAGATTAAGACAATTTACATCTTGCATTTTATTTCCAAATGGAATCTTATTTATTTTTTGTGTTTAAATTGCATGAAAAAATCACCGAAACACAAATTAAAATAAAACATATGGATGAAATATTTATTGTAACTAATTTTCATTTTAATTTTAATCAAATTTAAATGAAAATTTCACTGAATTATAAATTTCAAAAAGCATATTTCAAGAGCAAAGAGCAATTTTTCATCAGCATCATTAGAAATTCTGCTGCTTTCTAATTAGACAATCATTTAAATTTTACTTTATATTTTCACTCAAATTATATTTAATGTAAACACAAATGGAAACTTATCAGAACAAACATTTTTTTTGCTCAAATGGTAGTTTTTATCAAATGATCAAAAATTATCTACTTTATTTAGAATATTTGTTAAACAATTAAACAAATTTAAATTAGCGAATAGTATTTATCTTCACTTTTAATTTTTTCTGGAAAATTTTGTATAGCATTTTCAAATATATTTATATATTAGATAATTAATGGAGTTTTTCGAGTATACAAACATGATAGCCAACGTTTTGTGATGTTTGTTAGCCAATGCTCTGCTAGCTAATGCTTGGTAATCTGGACAAAGCTTATACTCAAAATATTCCCATCAGAGAGTTTAGTTAGCTAATAACAATAATAACTTCGAAATTATTTTTATTCAAGCGATATGTTTGATTTCACATAATGCACTTATCTCGACTTAAAATATTTGAATTCTTTAGTGATTAAAGTAAGATTAACAGCAAATTCTTTTAGTTTAAATTGCAATTTCTTATTAATAAAGTTTTATTTGACGTGCATAATTTATAAAGAGAAATAAAATGAAAATTTATGCTAATAAAGTTTTTTATTTGCTTTCAATTAATGGATTCCTTCCTTAAATTGCTACACAAAATGTATTTAGCTAAAAACATTTAAATATGTCACTTTTTTAAATAAAAAGGATTATTTATACATAATTCAGTAGAATTTTAATTTCTCGTACTTTAAAGCAATAGATTTCAAAAATTTGCGTTTAATAGAGAACAAACTTATTATTCAAAGTTTGTTCTCTATTAAACGCAATTTATACCTATTGCTAATGTAACATTTAATGGCGTGATATTGCTTCCGAGATATATGATGTTACAAATATATGGCATTTTCACATTATTGCTCGAAGCTATTTGAGTCCCTGATGAATTCAGCCGTTATCACGCAACATTTGTACTTAAAAGAGTTATGAAATCTTATACACCATTTTCAAAACTGATCAAATTCCAGTTACTACCAGAATATGGAAAAATTTCTGAATTCTGGCTGTAGGGTAACTTTTACTAAAGTGATTTGATAATGACTGGTAAAATTTAAAATGTGGTTTCATAATCTGTGATAAAATTTGATAAATATGGTAAAATTGCTATTGGTTTGATTTTATACACAAGAATTATGTTTTTTCTTTGTTTTTTCCTTTTACCAGAGAAGTCATTACCATACAATACGGTAATTTTATCAGAATTCTTTCACTGTTTGTCTTAAATATATTAAACAATAAGTTTTGTCATGTCCTATAAACTACAAAAATTATATTTGACTTTTTCATTGTAAAGATGAAAATAATTTAAACTTCAGTTCCAGACAATTTGACTATAGAGGTATAAATAATTTAATTAAGTATTGTTAAAAATAGAATAAATTTAAAAATACTTTACACAGAAATTGAAACATTTGTAACTGAACATTTTCTGTTACAAAGCTTTTTTTTAATTAGCATTGCAACAACAGTTTATCTATTTTATCACTAACTACCAATGCATTGACTTAGCCAAAAGCATAGTTTAACAACTGATTAGAAAATGCGTACTAATTAAATAATGTTTATAAATTATGCATATTAATTATGACAAATTTAGAGTATAATGAAGGGTGGATTTGGTGGCAGAATAATATAAAACTTATAATAAAAAAAAGAATTAGAGGTTATTAAAACATCACTTTTAGATAAATGAAATTAAAATTATTATTTTACTTTCTCCAATAACTTTCAGCGTTAAATTGTTTCCTTTTTTTAACAAATGGTTGTTTCAGTAGCTCACATGTAGCAAATGATTCAAAAAAAGCTAAAAAAAATGTTTTAAAAATTCACAAAAACGTTGGCTTTTACTATAGCGACACAATAATTAAACTTTTTTGCTTGACAAACTCTATTAAAACCATTTATTTATTCTATTTTGTAGACAGAAAGTATTCTTAAATACGTAAAAAAAAACGTTCTATTGACTAATATTACTTTATATTATCAATCTTACATAACGGTATGGTTCACGTTTTCAGAATAATACACTTTTGAATTCTTTTTATGTATATTCATTTATTCATTGAATTTTTGCATTGAATTTCTGCATTGTACGAAGAAATAGAATCCAAATCATGTTTATTTCTACAAGCACATACATATTAAAATAAATTGTAAATACAAATCTTGTAAAGTTAAGATGATATTTAACTTGTATGAACAAATCAGTAACGCTGATAAAATACTAATTCAGAAGATTATTATTTAAAACCATATTTTATAGTAAATTAGAAAAACTGTTCATGAACTAGTTATTTTCAATGGTTGCCATTAAAGTTTAATAACTAATTTTACTATGGATAACCCGTAACTATTTACAGTAATTGACAATTACTAATAACAATTATAAGTCCTTTATTTTGATCCAGTTATTTAATTAAAAATGCAGTTAGATTGAAAATTACCACATAAATCAAACTCTGTTGAATTAAATATTAAAATAATCAAAAAAATAAAAAATTATTAAATTAAAACCACTTTGTCAGATTTATTTACTTATTATCATAAATTAATTGTTATTTTATCCGACTAATCACACTGGTTGAAATGTATCACAACTAGCTGGTAAATAAAGTTGTTAATTTATTTGCATTAAAAAAACTGTGCTTTTACATTAAAACTACTTTTAGTTATTAGAATCTCTTAATACTTTTTTATCCATTAAGTTAAAATATCTATTTTTTTAGTGCTTAAAAATATTCCACAACGATTTGTAATAGGATATTGATTATCTTACATATGTCAGATTATTTTTAAAGTGCAACAAAAATATTAATTTGTTTTTAATTACCCTGTAGCAATTTTCGATTTTTTAAACAAAATGTAAGATAATAAATAAAAAGAATTTCTGTGAAACGACTCGAAATAAAAAAAATAAAAAAAATAAATCATTTACTTATTATGTATTAAACTAAAAATAATTTCAATATTATTCCAATAAATCAAAGAACTGTTATTAGTTTGTATTTTGTTTATTAAAAAACACAAGTTTAAAATAACTTTTTTAAACTTTTATTTTGTTTCAATTAAAATTGTAAAAACAAATACCTAAAGAACTCTAAGCCATCAATATTTTTAACGTAAAATTAAAAACAAGAAATTCCTACAAAAACTTAATAAACTTGCTTCAACTATTTTCATAAAGAGATATTGATTATTATAGTTAAATTAATAAAGGGCGCAAGGAATTTTTTGTGTTGATCTCTTTTTACATAACTGTTATTTAATTAATGAATAATTTCTTTCGCCACTGCTCTGAATATATTTGCAGAAATTAAAAATGCTTCAAATACTTCAAGATATGCATCATGTTTACCTTTTTTTCGGGATTTATTTATTTTTTGTCAA